AAAAAAAAAAGTATAAATAACTTGACAGCAGTTCAGCACAATAGAGGTAAATGAGGAAACAATTTTGTCATACATAGTACTTTGAGATAAATTTATAACTGAGTGTTATTTTAAAAGCATTAATCTCATAAATTAATGATTTGAACACCTTAGTACCAATAATATGTAAAATAATAATACAGTTGACAAATGATCTTTACATAAACTGATATACCAGATTAGGTTCTATAAAAATGAGGTGCATCTTTTGAGATTTTCCAGGGGTCCTGCTGGAAAAAAAACAAAAAATGGTCATTTAGGTCTAAGAAAATAATGTTTGAAATAGAAAAGATAAAGAAAAGTTATATTAACTTGTCAGAAAAACTCAAATACAGTATGGGATACAACAGGCTTTTAAGTAATGGTATAATCATAAAAAAGTCCAGTGACATAGACATTACACTAATTATTGGTCCCAACAACATGAGAGATGCTTTAAACAAACTCTGACCACAGCCTTGTGGTTACTGTCAAGCAAGGCCACAGAACTATTCCATCCTATTACCACAGATGGGCTAGGTCACAGTGGCATGTTATTTCATGAAGGTGTCAGCCATTTGTGTGACCCTACCTCACCCCATACTAAGATAGCCTTTTAGGTACGATGGGCTTTAACAGTTTTTGACTTTTAGATCCCTCTCTAAGGGTTTTACATAATACATTTAAATATAACCTTAATTTTTACCCTTTTGTAACCTTAATACATTTTTCCTTAAGAACTATGTAAAATTCTACCAGAGAGAGAGAGAGCAGGAAAAGAGGCTGTCGGGTCTGGGATTTGAACTACTTTTTATCCATGTATCTACTTTTTGCCCAGTATCTTAACCATCATATCACCTGCCAACCCTCTTAACCTTGATTTTTTTTTTTTAAGTAATTTGACTTGTCATTTATTCTTAACAATTTTACTATTAAGATAAAAAAAAACTCTAAGAATTAGAAACCAAGTGAAAAAACTTTACAGTTTATATTAGCCAATAGTAACTTAACATAGTATTTTTTTAATTAAGATCTAAAATTACCTGAAAACTTTATAACATTATACTTACAATAACCAGATCTTAAAAATCAATGCCTGGGTTATTTAAATACTAAAAGATACCAGAAAGTCAGTTACTTATTTTTCTATTTAACTTTTTATAACATATTAAATATATAGACCATAATGAATATTAGTTATTTATCTTAAGTTGTTAAGTCTAAAATTTTTTTACTAAATCAATACCAAAACAATTTTGTAGTTTGATTGGTGAAACCTAGGCTGACAATTATGAAGTCATCTTTAACCTTTATTTATAGTAGATTTATTTACTTAAGTCACGTGAACTTGAAAGCATTTAGATAAAATGCTAAGAGCGCTCTTTATTTATGTGTTAAATTCAATGGAATTCCTTAAGGACTTGGCCACATAAATATAACATACAACATATAAGTACAACACAAACAAACATAAAGAGTTAAAAAAATATATATCTTTGTGTTAAATTCACCCTTTATATTTGACTTTGGCAACAGGAAGGTTATTATCATTTTCCTGATATCCCAGATACATATACAGAAATTTATCACTGGAATGGAACATGGAAAAAACACCCAGGAAGTACATCCACATGTGGATTCTAATTTCTTTAAAGATTACCCTGGCCATGCACTATGAGATTTAATTTCTCATGTGAGATGTGTAAGTGCAGGAAAAGAAAAAGATCAAGAAACCAAAACAAAGAAACTAGATACTAAGGATAGACTCATTCCCTGCCTGGGAGCTGATATTCTTCCCTCTGTTAACTCTCTATTTTAGTATTTTTTCTATGACCATGTCTCTATTTCTTTCTGGGAGATTTCTTCATGAGCATGAAACAAAGGAATTTATTTACTGTATCTGTACTGGGTGCAGGGCCTGTGTGCCAACTTCCTGCATCCTTCTTAAAGCTACGAATCCAACTTGAAAAGGGCAAAGACCGGGATAAAAACAAACAAACAAAAACAAAGCAAGACTTTTGTAAGGGGGCTTGGAAATCCAAGATTTACATTGTAATGACCCACAATAAAAGAAAAACTGAGACTTTGGTTATGATAGAAAAATGAAACAAAGGCTGAGAGAAGACTACCACTGAAAAAAAATTACAGGTTTTTAAAGGAATAACAAATTTTAAGATGTTTTACAAGATAGAAAATTGCTGTCTGCTAGTAAACAGGGAAAGAAAGGCCCCAGGCCTATTGCTGCCAGAAAACTAATGATTTCTTTTGTACTAAAACAGAAAATGTTATCTAGGACTTTTGCAAATCAAAAAGAAGCTCACCAGATGAACACACCCTCTAAAACTGATAAAGTACATGATCAAACTCAGTAAAGACTTATGCACTTGAACAAAAATACGAAGATTACATGAAACAAAACTCTAGCAGAGATGGCCCCTTGTAGCATGAACTGCCCTGCTCTTTGCCCCTGCACTTAACAAGAGTAGGCTTCCCTTCTTCCTATAGATTCATCATGGTGACTAATCTGTTAAATGTGTATCTTTCTGAAGTTTATTTTGAAAGGTTTTTACCGGAGTGTTATGGAAACGGCGACCCCAATCAAATTTGGTCAGGCTTGCAGGAGCATTTGATCTGGGTTTCCGGGGCTAGCAGAAGGGAGGGATTTTACACTACAAAGGTCTGGGCTAGCTTGCCAGACTAGTTTGCAAATGGCTCGGGGCTCCTGCAATGTGTTAACAAATTACCCCAGGTTTCCACAACTTCAGCAGCATCCGCTTTAGTACAGAAACAAAAGAGGCAAAGGTTAGACTTTATCTTTGTAAGACAGGCTAATCTAATTTTATTCTTAAAATTTCTGGTAAGAGAAGGAATAAGAAGCCAGAAATTGTCCGGCCAAGGGGAGTTTTAGGCGCCTTTTTAAATAACTTCAGAAGCAGCTTCTTTTATTTATATATTGTCTCAAATATATTCTTGTTAACTTTTAATTAAAAGAAGTTAATTTTGTCTTTTTTTTGTATTTCTATAATAACGTAGTAACCTCATTTTTTTTAAAATTAAATACAGATTTTGTTAATTTAGCGCGCAAAGATTTATTGAAGCTTCTGCCTGATAAAATTTTAACCAAGATCACCTTTTGTAATTTTTCCCATTTACTTAAATACCTGCAGATCAAGGTGCCATAGACGTCATAAAATTAACTGGTGTTCAAAAGAGGTCGTCCTTTTTGCCCTTTAGAACTGTACATATCTTTTCCATTTTTTTTTTCCACTTTTTAAATGGAGAAACCAGCCTGTGTAAGTCTAAGGAGTTTAATGTGGTGGACCAGCGTGCTGCTTTTTTTTGAGCATCTCTCCACTAAATGTCACTCTAGTGTCGAGATTACTCGTTTTACGTGTCTCAGTTCCCTTCAAGAACCTAGCGCGCTTGAAGGGGGCCCAAAACGCTTGAGTGGTCAGCTCTTATTTTGCGTTTACTGGATGGGCCTGTTATTGTGTGTGGATTCCCTGTAGGCCTCTACTAGTCCTAAGAGGGGGGAAATTTTCCTTCCAGACACTCCCCGCTTGGCTCCCAGTCGCCTGGGGTGCCTACCTAGCAGGGAGGAGCAACTGCCCCCTTTATCTTCAGAGCTGAGATATTCAGTCTCTCATCCGCCTATGAATAAGACAGTTCAGTTTCTCCAGTGCAAATGCATAGAGCCAAATGAAGCAGTTCAAGAAGGCAAAGGTGTAAGACCCCTTAGAACCTTTTTTTTTCCTTTTCCTTTTTTTTTTTTTAAACTAACGCACTTCCATACTTTTAGTTTCTTAACTACTCAAAGAGGAAACAAAGCGCTACACCTTACTCATGCTGCCTGTTAAGTACTTTAAGCTTTGCTGCAAACAGTTCCCTGTGTGCAAAACTTCCTAGTGAAAGAGATTAGCTACTGGGACTCCATTTGGGGCCTATGTACTGACTGTATGCCCCAGGTTTCTTGCCTACCTTGGTATGAAATATACTTAAATTCTATGTTTGATTTGATTCAAGGAAAGCATGAACATATGTGGGAAAGAGGAGCTGCAGATAGGGGTTCCTGAGAGCAATCATTACTGGAAAATAAAATTTTAGGGGCAGCTCCAAAATGTCAAAAACTGGAACTCAAGCAGAGACCTCCAAGGAATCAGGTAATGTTAGAGCTCCAGGGAGAAAGAGTTGACTATGTGAGAAGGTGGAGTTAGGAGGAATCACAAGGCCCAAGACGGCAGAGGAACCTGGGCTGTGTGTTGGGGGAGGGGCTGTGGCCCACCCCCTTTGGGCCCCTCCCCCACCTCAGCCACCCTTTGTGATGAAGAGGCTACAGTTCTGTGATGCAGGCCAGACGCTGGGTATAAAAGGGAACTAACTCCCAGGCTCAGGCCTCAGTTGCCTGAGACCAACATTCAGATGGAGAATTTTCTCTTTCCTCTGAGAAGTTTTAGTTCCACATGGCTGAGCCCCAGCTCCACTGCCTGGGTGAGGGATGTCATCTTTGGCACCTTGTGTGGGATGGGGCTCTTCCTCTTGCTACATCTCTTCCTCCTGAGCAGTCCACCCCAAGCACCTCTGGGGGAAAAGAAGACCATCAGGGAGGTAAGGAACCCTCAGCCCACTTTTTTTTTTCTCTACTATATTTTTTCCACTTTTCCAAATCAACTAGAGAGACTCCAGAGATGAAAAATCTAGGAAAAACCACTGTATCTAACTCTTGAAGGCCCTGGGCAGGGCCAGGGTGGAGTGTGCTTGGATTTCTTTTCTTTTTGGGGGGAAGAGGTTTCTGCTATAGGGCATGTGCGCTCGCCAGAAAGACAGAGAGAGACAGAAAGCGAGAAATCACTCTCCAGGGATGATGGCCACAGTGCAATCCCTTCTCCTCCATTTTCCTCTTGGGATCTTGGGCACACACGCACATGCACCCAGCGTGAGTTTAAGCCACCAGGTCTGGGACTCGAACCATGGTCAGCTACATGAGAGTCCAGCGACATAACCATTACGCCAACTGCTGGTCCCAAGTGTGTGCTTGGATTTCTAAGCTGGAGGCACCAAGGCAAAGTCAGACATCTGGATTAGAGACAGTTGGGGGTCTCTACGGGAGTGACTGGCCTCATCTCTGTCTGGTCAATCGCCCTCCTGTGGTAGGTCCTGGAGAGTAGCCTCATCTCTGCATCAGGCTGATCTAGGTCTATACTAGCCCCAGAGCTTCTGGTCAGAGGCTGGAGTCCACTCGGAAAGCACACCCAGATCTGAACTCAGATGTGCCTCGAGGTCTGAGTGAGAGTGTTTCCTGAGCTCAGGAACAGTGACTGGGGATGTCTCCGGGGATGTTCCCTAGAAAATCCCTGTGTTCATTTTTCAAAGAAAAATAAAATGTTTATCTACTTTTTACAGGAGAGGTGCAGTAGTGGAGCAGGATGCTCTGAGACAGTCCCACAGGGAAGGGCCTGGGTCTAGTCTGGAGACCTCCCTGTGTACTCAGCATGCATGTGCTCATGACGGGCTGGCTGGTGGAGGGGGGTAATGGTATCAAGACCTTGCTGGGGGTGAGTTTTCTCCCTCTCTAGGAGAAATAAGTAAACTTTAAAAATGAGTAGGAAAACAAAGACTGCAGAGCTCCCCTGGGTAAATGTCAGTCGTGTGCTCAGGGGACACTAAGGTCTGAGGCTGTCTGGGGAGGGGAGAGCCCACACTGGGTCCCAGCCCCTTGCCTGTCCTTGTCTCTCAGCATCAAATGGTGATGAAGAAGAGGAGCAAGAGCAGGAAGAAAGCCAGTGCCCTGAAAGGTAGCCTCTACCCCTCCACCCCAAATCCCCAGAGGTGACATGACCTCTCCACGAGGAGGGACAGACACCCTCCACAGGAGGGTGCATGTGCGTGTGTGCCCAAGATCCCTCCTCTGTTAATGCCAGTGCAGGGCCATGCGAGGGGGTTCTTGGGGAGGAAACCAGAACTGGCTGCTGGTCAGATTTCCAGCTAGGATAAAGCTTAGTGGGCCAGGGAATGGGCTGCCCAGAAGGCTGTGTGGGAGGCCAGGACCAGCAGTACCTGGATTTGGAGGGATCTCCAGCTCCACCTGTGGATGACCGTGTGACTCTCTAAGCCTGAGTTTTGATGGGCTCTATTTCCCCAACAGGTGGTTGTGAGACTGTAGGGGGCCACGGGTATGAAGGCATGCTGCCCCTGATCATGGGCTACCACCTGTGCTCCTTGCTACCACAGCTGGGGCAGGGGCCTGGGGTGTGGGCTTCGAGGTCTTTTATCCCATGGTCTGCCCTAAGGGACCTAGCACTCAGCTTCCTGTAGAATCCCCAGGTTCCTTTTTCTCCACCATGACCCAGTCTCCTGACTTCCAGCTTGCAGAGACTGCAGGAAAGATCTGGAGGAGGTTCGGGAACTGAGTTTCCTTCTGAGAAGGTGAGGAACTTTTGTTCACTTCTGTCCCTTGTCCTTGCCTACCAGAGCTTATCTTGAGCCCCCTGTGGCCTTGGCCCACCTGGGAGGAGGAAGAACCCACAGGAAGGGGTGGGATGTGACAACAGCCCTGGGGTGAGCATTGTGAAGTCAGCGAGTAGGGCAGGGAAGGGCCATGGCCATGGTGTCCCCACCTGCCCGGCCCTTGTGCCCCACCTGCTCCTGGCTGCAGCTGGCACCTCCTGTCCCCTACAGCCACATGGGGAAGCTCCTTGACAAAGGTGATTTCCAACGAGACCTCCCCAGTGAAGAGTGCAGACCAGCGCCTGCCAGAGCCCACCAGCCCTGTGGGGAGCGTGTGCGAGATGCTTCTCCCACCATCTCATCCCCTTCAGCTCCCCAGGCCAATGGCCGGACTGAGTGTCGTCAGCCTCTGGCCTCCACTCCATCACCAGGACCAGTGGCCTCCACTCCATCACCAGGACCAGTGACCTCCCCAGTTTCTGTTGGTTCGCACTCATCCCTGGGTGCTGCCCTGCCATCAGAGCCTTTCATTCCCTCAGAGTGCCCTTCACCTTCACCCCAGCTTTGTGCTCCTTCCCCTGCCCCACAGTGCCCCCCTGATCCCATGGCCTCCCTCCCACCTCTGCCAGTCCCCAGCATGACTCCTCCTCATTGTGACCCCATGGCCCTCCCACTGGGCACAATCATCCCAGACAGCTCTTCACCCTGGCCTTGTGCTCCCTCCCCTCCTGGACCATGCACTCCAGACCCTGTGGCCTGCCCCTCACCTCCACCAGTCCCCAGCACAGCTCCTTCTCCATGTGGCCCCACTTCCTTCCCACTGGGGAGAGTTCCTCCAGAATGCCCTTCACTTGGACCTCATGGTCCTCCCCCTTCCCCACCATGCCCCCCTGATCCTGTGGCCTGCTCCCTACCCCCACCAGTCCCTCAGAGTGACCCCGAGGCCCTCCCATGGGGTATGGCCCCGCAGAGCCTGTCTCCACACAACCACCACTGGCTGACCTCTCCTGTCCCAGCGGTCTCAGGCCTTGGTGGCTCAAGCTACCCTATCTCAGTCCTCTCCTGGTGGCAGGCGGCTGCCAGAGCCTGGGGTCTCTCCACCTTGTCACAAGGGAAATTCAAGCAGGAGCAACATTCCCACCACCTGCCAGAGGTGCCACTCCAGGAAGATGCCACACTCAGGCAGGTGGGGGCTGGCGGTGCCCCCCTCATCAACCCCGACGTGAAGACGTTGCTGGAGATACTCATCACTAAGAGAGCCCAGAAGCTATGGGAGGAAAAGGCAAGGGTGGGGCCAGACTGCACCCTGGATCCTCTGGGGAACATGTTAAAGTCCCAGGGGGACAGACAGAAGAACACTGTCACCCCACAGCTCTGCTGGGAAACTAAAGGCAACCTGGAGCAGCTGCCCACTCCTCAGCAGCTGGCTTATCCCAAGGTTGTGGGCACGGGGGAAGAGCTACAGCAGAAATGCAGCCAGCTGTTTTGGGGCCTCCCCTTTCTGCACAGCGAGTCCCTGGTGGCTGCCATTAGGGCCTCTAATTCTCCACCAGGATTTCCCTCTGTCTTATTCAATGGACTCTCAAACTCTTTTCCAGTTCTATCTAAACAAGTTCTATCTAAACCAACTCCAAACCATTTCTGGCCCAAGCCCACAGCCTGCAGTGTGACTGAACCCCAACCTTCGACTCAGACTGTGTCCTGGCCCCAGCCCCCACCTCTGGCTATAGCCCAGACCCAGGCCTATCTCCCACCCAGTCTCCTGCGCCTACCAGGCTGCTCACCTCAGATTAGGGCCCCTGGGCTGCCTCGCCCTGCACCCCAAAAGGAGGTCCAATTTCGTATTTCAGCAGCTATTCAGTACCTGGGAAATCATCTTTTGAAAAAGCAAAAGGAGATAAGGATGGCTTTACCCTCTGTGGTCAGAAGGTCTCAGGACATCTTCAGTCAGCTCCCTTCCAACAGCAGGGCCTGTCAGGACTGCAGGCCCAATTCTGACCACCCGGGAGTCTTTATCAGCCCTGAGTTCCTGGACCAGTTAGAGCAGCACCTTCGACAGAAGTTCACATCCCACCACTATGGACTGCCCTGCGAGACCCAACTCACTCCGGACCTGATGCGGCCTCCATGCAAACTGTCAGGGACAGGTCAGGCCAAGGGCAAGTATGGGCACTCCTGGCCCCCCATGTCCACAGGCGACAGAGGCCAGGAGATACAGATGGTGTGGTCTGGGGTCCCAGGAGAGTTCCAGCCAGGAGAGAACTCAGGCCGGGACCTGGAGTGTCATTGGGAGCCAGTCCTAAAAGACCCACCAAGGGGCTCAGAAAGTTCCCCAGTGAAGGGTCTAGGTGCCTGCTCTGAGGAACAGTCAGAAAGGGACTTGCGGCTCCCCACAAGTGAGGCAGAAAATATCTCATCAAGGAGCCTGGACAAGAAGCATCGAACAGACTTTCTCAGAGTGCACCTGAGCAGGGAGCCGGCGCACAGGGACGAGCGTGGGCTCCGTGCAGGGGCTCCTCCCTCCAGGCTGGCTACTGGCTATGACTGTGCCCCGCCTGCAAACTCCAACACTCCCGTGGAAGTGGGAATCCCAGCTCTCTCACAGGGTGAGGCTCTTCCTCCTCAGGATCTGGGAGCTTCCTGGACTTTTCAGGAGCCTCCTCCCCTGGATCAAGGTATGCGGCAGGTGCTGGAAGAATGTACAAGGTTTCAGGGGACTCAGAGTAGGGGTCCAGCACTCATGGCCCTCCAGCCCATGAATCTTAGGTTGAAAACGACTCAACCCCTGGCCCTTCCACATCCCACCTTTCCCTCCTTGGCCACCCATGGACCTGGGGCCAACTCAACAGCCGAGGTAGCCAGTTTCCCCAGAGAACCACCTGGGACAGCTCCAGGATGGACCTTGATGACGAAGGTGGACTCCACCCTGAAGACTACTCTCCCTGCCCCCTCGTCTATGAGTAAGGAAGTCCAGGGCACCCTGAGTGGGACCCCGTGTAGGCCCTCAGAAGCCCTTCCCACTAGACAGGAAATGAAAAAGGCAGCCTCCATCCTGAAGACTCCTCCCCCTCCCCCCCTACCTGTGAGTAAGGAAGTCCAGGGTGCCCTGAGCAGGACCCCATCTGGGCCCTTGGTGGCCCCTCCCATGGGGCAGGGGACTGGGCAGCCTTCCCAGCTCCTCATAGGCAGCCTTGAGTGCAGAGCCCAGGACGGTAAGCCTGTCCCAGGGACTGGAAGAGGCAGCCCGGAGCCAATGGTCCAAGGTGGGCCACAGCAGGAGAGTGCACAGGGCGCCAGCAGCAGAACGATGGAATCCAGGGGAGGACCCTGTTCATCAACTACTGAAGAGATCGGGAAGATAGTGGAGGCTGACAAGGGGCCGACCCCTGCCTGGGGGCTTCACACTGGGAGCCAGTCATCCCAGGCCATCACGGGGATCCATATGGTGACAAGCACCCCAACTGCAAATGTGACTCTGTGGGGATCAGGGTCTCTGGAGACGAGGAAAGGCTCCCCACCCTCTAGAAGCCTTTGTGCCCAGGATGTGGCTCCTAGGGGGCTCACAGAGCATCTTTCCAAACCCCTCGGTGGATCTTTGCGTACCATCCCCCAGGGATACCCTATAGTCTGCCTGGATGAAGAGGCTGTCCCCTCAGAGAGTCAGCCTCTAGGCCCTGTCACTGACTCCCTCCTTCCTGACTGTGTCACTGGCACACGCTCTCGCACGCACATCTCTGAGATGCTCCTGCGCACAGACGCTGCTGAACAACCTCAGACCTTTCCACCCAGCCTCTCCAGCCTCAGCACATCAGCTTCCTCAGAGCCATGTGACCTCTTAACAAGGCCAAAGGTCAGCCAGGGGCAGCAGGCTCCTAGGACCCCAAAACTTCAGCATCCACAAAAGAATCAGACCAAGATGTCTGGCCCTCCTGAGAAGAGTAAGGACTGTAGGAGGCTCAGGCCAGGAGGACAGGAACAGAGACTGGCAGGACCTCAGCGCCCCCAGGCCA